AGATATTTCACTTTTTACTTGTAATTGAAATCTATTTACTTCGTGTTTGTTTGACCATATTCTGCTAATGCAAAGTTATTCTAAACAATCGAGTCAATCGTGGTAAAGTTTATTTTGTATTGTTTTTAGTTATCCATTTAATAATAAAGTTATTCAAATATTGCCTTGGCTATTTAGTTCATAAATTAGACATAGTACTTGTCTAAATCACTTAACGAAGTCCACCTACGAGTAGGTAAGCCATAGGACTTTGCACTCCATCAGTAAACTATCTTGTTGCCTAAGGTTAGCCCACTATTTCTGAATTTTTTTTTCTTTTTGATAGGCAGTTATGTACAAATATTTTTAAAACATTTAAAAAATTTTTTTCACTTTTTTTTTAAATAAATTTTAATAAATAAATAAACAAGACAAAATATAATACAACAAATAAAGCAACAATCAAAAAAGTAACAACCTAAATCACATGAAAACACTTTCAACATTAGGAATTAGAAGAAATAGCAAATAAAGTATGAGTTTCACAGTTTATATAAAACAATGACTAGTAATAATTTGCTAATAAAAAATGATTTTCACAGTTTACATGTTTAAAACAATGAGTAGAAATATTTTGCTATTGAGAAATTATTTACATTTAAGAGACTTTTAAAACAGTACTTAAATTTTTTACTCAGAAATTCAAAATTTTTATTTGAATATTTAAAACTTTAATTTTTTGTCTGATTTGGATGCAAATATTTCAATAACATTAAATAGACATTAAAGTAAGTCCATTCAATCTATTTTCTGACATCAGAAAATAGATTGAATCTGAAAGGTCAATATCTACTCTTAGGAGAATAAAAATTTACACTCTCGTGTAAATTTTTATTCTCCTAAGAGTAGATATTGACCTTTCACACTAACAAGTTGTGATTGGTATTAGACTTATCATAGGCAAAAAGCATGTTTTGTTACTATTGCACAAGCAACTAATTCTTCATTTAAATAAAGATTCATATTTTATAATATTTAAATAATCGAGTAATTAAATAATCAAGTAAAGTCACGTTATCTTAGTTTCGATACTAATGATGATTTCACGGTAGCGAATAAAAAACCCTAATTTATTAGCTTCTATTTAACAGAATATTTTTCTAAATCGGACACGTTAAAAACAACTGTGTGGCCAAGTTTTATTTTCACGGTTGAGAGATCTATATTTTATTATTTATATAAATAATAAAATATTTGCATTTATATAAATAATAAAATATGTTGCAAGTTTTGCAACATCGGTTAGGAAGGTGGCGTGAAGTTCCAATTAAATGCTCATCCACGGTGCTCGATCCATTTATTAGACATCTCAATCATTTCATTTTATTAACTTATGATTTTTAAATGTATGCATATATCTTGCATAACGATATTATATGACTGTAATCTAGAAAAACAATTTCAAAAGAATTCTCAACCGCCACCCCAAATACTACCAATTAGAAACAAAAAAACCATTTATAAGTAATTTTTTTGAATTTACTTGATTATACTAATTACACAACAAAGTTTTGTTTAGATTCTAAAACAGGAAAAAGTTCTCTCAGTTGTTATCTAATCTTAAATAAATTCAAGTTTAAATACATTTTTTTTTTTTTGTAACAGCCCAAGATATTACAGCAAAGTATAGCAAAAATAATGACTTTTATAAACTTTAAAAATCATAAGTTTAGATGTCTAATAAAGGGTATTTTTTATCGAGGATTCGATTTGTGTTTTAATTAATTGAAATAACCGATCAAAAGAGGCGGCAAACCACGTATATCGCTTTTTTTATCCAAAATATCGGATTTTTGAGGTTTAAATTTGACAATCTAAAATTAAACTTTTTTTTTTATTAATTGTATTTGTTTTACATAAGGGCCAACACATTTAAAAATATTGCCTACGCATTTAATGTAAAAAGTTGAAAAATATCCCGCTCTAATAATTAAAAATATAAATAAGTTAGTAAATAAAGAAAATTATTATTATTTTTTTTTTTAAAACAATCATTATAATATATTTCAAAAACAAATATTATTTACATGACTCCAGTTTATATAAATGTCCAACACACATTTTTACAATATCTAAAGAGCGTTAACAATGCAATTTTACGCATGCGAGTTTAATAGTGAGTTAAAGTAACTAATTTAAAAATTCGTGCTTTACAATAAAAAGTGCTATCTATCTATCAAAAAGTGCTATCTATCTATGCTATCTATGAACCTATACATTTAAAAAACATACTTTTGTCCGTCGCACCACAGGGCTACAGGGACTTGTTTGGGGTTGCTACTTAAAATATAAACTAGTATATTATATTAATGCTATTTAAATTAAAATATACTTTAATATACTATAATGATTTTATTTAGTTTAATTTATCATAATAATGCTATTTAGTTTAATATATTATAATAATACTATTTAGTTTAATATATTATAATAATGCTATATAGTTGTACGGAAACTTAAGAAAGACTAAATTAAGTCTTTATATTGAAAACCTTTAGATTACAAAATAAATTAATAATTAATAAACTACTACTACTACTACTACTACTACTACTACTACTACTACTACTACTACTACTACTACTACTACTACTACTATAACTCCGCTCGCGAGCCCTCATGTTACTAAACAGTCTAGCGTAAAAATGGGAGAGACAAATTTTGAAAAGTCTAATTTTTTTAAATGTTTTTGACAAAATCTATCTTATAATTTTATAATATTAACAAAAAAATCAAATTTTTTATGGTTACGATAGAAAATTATTACACAAAATGACAGTAGTTGTAGCAATGCGTAACATAAGGGCTTTTCGGATTATTAGTGAATTTTCATAATATGTCATAAAAAGGTTGTTTTTTTCTTAAAAAGGAACAAATTCCCCACACTTATCACAAAATTCCACGATTTTTAGTCAAGTATTTCATTTGCTACTACTGAAAATTAGATTTTTTCATCGTCCAAAAAGTTCACGGAAACTTATTTAAAGTTGTGGTGAACTTAATTTTGAGTTCTGAATTTTTTCAATGCAAAATAGCCTAATTTATACAACTATGTAACCAAAAGTAAGTAAGGTTTTCCTTTTATGAAGTTTTTATCTTGATGTTATTTGCACAAAAAATATATAAAAGTTTTTAATTATATGTAATAGCTAACGTGTTTAAATTAATTTTCCAATATTTTTTTTGCGTAGCATGAGGGCTACGGTATTTTCTTACATTTAAATACTAAAGATTTTTTGATGTAAACTTTAATCAAATGAAACGTTTCTTATGTGTGGATTTTTAATAAGTGAAATTTTAAAAGCCATTAAACTACATATAATAACAGTCAAAAAAACGGTGGGTGGGGTGAGGAGTGGATAATGCAAAACTAAGTAACCCGCCCCTCTCTAAAGTAAAAGTGTTGAATTATGACAAATATTAGGATTGTACAAAAATTTTGTTCACATAAGAATTAGCAAAATAAAAGAGAATCCCTAGGTTGCTATGTTTTGAAACTATAGTTTTTTGGTTTAATGCTTTAACAACATTATATAAATGCCTGAAGTCGCGACCTGTAATGCGCATCACCAAATTGTTTAACTCCTTTTATAAAGCTGATTGCTGAACAGCTAACAAGTTATGGAAATTAATAAATTAAAAAAACAAAGGAAAAAAAAATATGTCCTAAGATAAACGAATTCACTTATTACAATTTTCAATTTTATTTGCAATGTAGATGATTATACACAGGGTTGCCGTGAAAAGGGGGCAAAAGGGACAGTTTTCCCCGGGCGGCAGATGTCCAAGATGGTGCCAAATAAAAAAAAAGGTACCTGAAAATAAATTTAAGAGGTACTTCACCGGTAATATAGAAAAATTTTGATAAATATGGGCGTTAATCAGGGCTGCTGTCCCCTGCTATGTTACGGCTCTCGGCGGCCCTGGTTATAAAAACGAAGGTCTTGAAATAAATTGTTGTTATAACATATTTATTGTGAGCGACTGTAAAACAAAAAAATAACGTATTCGACAGTAAACAAATTTAATTTTAGTAAATTCAAGCTATAGCATAATCAAGTCAAGTCTAATAAGATTTATAAAGAGCACACCAAACTCAAACGATGTTTTCCAGATAATCTAGATAACAAGAAAAAAAATATTCAACGTAAAAAAAACATTACATTTTTTGTTTGACTTCTTCAAGCGCGGAGTCTAAAAGAATTTTAATCAATCTTTGCGGCCTTAAGTTTAGGATTAAGTTTATAATAAATTTAGGCAACACTGACGCACGTGGATAAGGAAGTTTGAAAAAAAACTCTCAGATGAAAGCATTTATGCCTAGATATTAATCAAATCTTGAAAAAAAGTTTTTGTAAGACGATTACAGTGAGCTTTCATATGAAAGCCACCTGGCTGGTTTTAGAAGAGCACAGAATTTACCTTTATTCATTCTTTGACATCAATCTTAATTTAGACAGGGCCGACGACACCAGAGGGAGAGGGAGATCAAGGGTCACTTGCCCCCTATCCAACTTTTTTATGGAAAGAAATTGTTGGCTAGCTGCTTTCTGCATAATTACGTCTAGCTAACTTTTTTATTAATGTTGATATGCAAACTTGAATTTTAATTCGCGCCTATTATTTGCTTTTAAATTATTATTATACAGTTTTACATTTTTAGAGGGTTTCAAAATTTCTCTATTTGATAGGGACATGAAAAAAAAAAAAAACAATTTTTATGAGAATGTACTCCATAGACGAGGACCTATCACGACCAATAACTAGGGAACCTATTAATTATCTTACTTCATTATCATTTAACATCATGAAACTAAAAAACTAATTAAAAAAAAGAACTGTACCAATTAAAGATATATTCTATATTTATAAACACACTAGAAGAAAAATAGTTTATATATATATATATATATATATATATATATATATATATATATATATATATATATATATTATATATATATATATATATATATCACCAAAAAACCAAACCAAAGTACAAAGGTAAATATATTTAATGTTTTCCTTTTTCTGTACGAATTTTAATAATTAACGACCTTAAGCCAAACTTTTCTAGTAGTGGATTGCACTCTGGCACTGATTCTAAATACTGTTGCACTTCTTTTTTTAACAATGTTGTGTTTGAATCGATAAACTGCTTTAAATGCTTATTAACTAAAGTTAAATCTTCCTGGCTATACTCTTTCCGATTTCTTGTTTTAGAATACAATGACGTAGTAGGTGAAGATGGGACAATATCACTGTGTTTGTTGTATGAAAGGTTATCAATTGTAAACTTATCATTTTCAAAATCTGAACAGTTCTTAGGATTAAAATCCGAATCATCATCAGATGCTTTGTTTTTTTTAATTAAATAGCGCACATCATCTAGAATTTTTTTCACCTTTTTACTATCCGATATATCACCAAGAGAATACTGATTAAATTTTTCACGGACTTCAGGCAATGTTATACTGCCCCTTAAAATTTCAGATTCAAAAATCAAATTCAAGGAAGGTGCTTGATTGTCAGCATATGTTTCTCTCTGGACCTCTCGAATTTGCTTACTAGTTTCTGCGACTTTGTTCCTTTTCTCAGCTATGGCATATGATTTTTCGGCTGTGGTAACATTATGGCATAGCAAATGAGCTGTATTTTGCTTAAGCTCAGGATACTTATCATGTACTAAAGTTGTGGTGTATTTTCTAACAATTGTTGGGTTTAGACACGATTTACCAGTACCTTTTTGCCAAAAAGATGAAAATTGTTTACTAAGCATTGATGAAGAAATTGGACTTCCACTCCAACTTAAAAAAACATAGGAATCATCTTTTTTTGAAACCCCATCCAGCATATTTCGCATAAATTTAATATACTTTTTTACTTTAAAATATAACGAATGGCTGAGAACAATATGAGCTGGTCCTTTATAACTTGTCTTGTGTTTCATTACACTGACAATAAAACCGTCTTTCTTTTCTATTGATTTTTTAAATTCATTTAAAGTCATGTTTGATACTGCTCCAGGACGAGAAGCATTGTCAAATGTAATACAAGTAAGTAAGTAATCTCTTGCTAAACAAAAGGAAGTTTTTGTAAGTTTATTTGTGCTGCTTGTATTAATAATCTTGTTTGCTTCAAGAACAATATCCGAGTTATCTAAGATAACTATTTCTTCTGCAGATGGAAAATTTTCAAGATCAATTTGATCCTTCTCATACCGACCTTCTTGAATGGACTTCCATAGAGTTTTTTCCCACTTTGAAATTTGTGTTTTTATTTTTGAATGTTTTTCGCTTGTAATAATATCAAATCTTTCCTTTATAATACAAAAATCTAAGAAATGTTTTACCGATCCGAGATAAGTTTTGATGGTACCCGGTTTTTTATTATCTTTATTGAGCTTTTCCATCCACAAGCTCAGAAAAGAAGAACAACTTAGATTACTGTAGTTGATTTCAAATTCACTTTCATACCTAACAATTCCTAATATTACACTTTTGTGCTTTAAAGCACATCGTTTAGGTTTCTGGCCTCCATCAATGCTTATAAGCCAATCAACAAATTCATTCATGAACTTTTCTTCGGCAGATGATGTCATGTAGAATTTATCATCCAGGTCTTCAAAATCTGCTGATTCAAGGGAATCATCAGAATTACTAATATCGTTTGAGTGACAAGGAAGATTTTCTGCAACAAAATAAAAAAAAAAAGGGTTTAAAATATCATAGTTAGGTTTAAGATTTTAGAAACATCGTATTTTTTTTAAGAACTAACCTTTGTTTTTAAATCTACTAGCCACATATTGTGAAGCTAGCCACTCTTCATCACTTTCTGTTGATGTATCTAAAAAATTTGCACCTTGTTGAAACACTTCTTTATCAAAATAAGGTTCTAGACTTAAGCTCTCATCTGATTCTGTTAGTGATTCTGATTCACTTGTTGATCGTTCATAGACACAAGTAGCTTTTTCCACTAGAGGTTTGACATCCTTTGTTGGGACTTTATGATATTGTCTTAAATGGTTGTCAAGTCTTCGTACTTCCTTTAAACAAAAACTTATAGGACAAGTTTTTTTATGGTATTTTTGGACCTTCGAACGCCTTTTTGAAGGTGATAAGACTTTTCGTTTAAGGTTTAGCCCAAAGTCTAAACGTGCATTTGATGCCTTAATATTATCCCAATTATGCTTTCTCGATTTTAAGTGTCTTTTTAATTGAGCAACTGACCTAAAAGGAAATTAAGGAAAAAATAAAGTTGAAAATAAACAGTAGAAAGTAAAAGCTCAGAATAATAAAAAAAATGTTAATTTTTTTTTTATAAACATTTAAAAGAATCAGTAAGAAAATAAAAATCTAATCAGTATAACTTACTCTCCACACTTAGGACAATCAACTTTACACCTTGATTCTTTTTTTCTTCTCTTTTTACAACTCTAAAATAATATAATACTATGCTAAATATTTGAAAAAATCATATTTTTCTAACTAAGGGGCTGTTCAAATAACACGTGACAGTCTTAGGGCAAAGGGGTATCAAAAAGTGTCAATAAATGTCACATTTTTAGAGCCAACACCACACCCCTGGACTACTTTATGTAATACTTTAAGAGACATGATATAGAAGCCTCCATACCTGCCCTCCTCCACGGAGCCTGGTATAGAGGTTTCCATATTAAGGAGGCTGGGAGAAAAAAAAAGTGGTATAAACGGTAACGCCCAAACTAACGGTTGGTACAGCACTAGAAATAGACATATACCTTGTTTACTTCTATTGGCACTTCATCTTCAATAACTAAACTTGGCACATGGTTCTTGCATATTCTTTTATCTTTAACCGTAAGTAGCTTTACAAAAAAAATTATGAATAATTTAATCAACAAAATATTTCTCTACTTTACAATGCCATTATGTAGAGGGTAAGCACTTTCTATTTAACCTGCTCTATTTGCAATGTTTCACTTTCTTGCTTGTTTATCTTTTCGAGCCCTTCAATTTTTGTATTTCCGTCTTCTATTACCTGCAATCAAAATAGTTACTTTTTAGAATTAAAAAAATTTCATCATTTTATCATCATCATCATCATCATCATCATCATCATCATCATCATCATCATCATCATCATCATCATCATCATCATCATCATCATCATCATCATCATCATCATCATCATCATCATCATCTCATCATCATCATCATCATTATCATCATCATCATCAAATTTAATCACACAATTAATAATAATAGGCATACCTCTCCTTTTTTAAATTGAGTACTTGTTTCTAAAGTAAAAATAATAATGTTATACATACAAAAAAATTAAATTAAAAAGATTTAAATGAAAAGAAAGCGCATAAACTACTTTTATAAATTAACAAACAGTAATAAATTACCGAAAAAATCTATATCATCATCTGAAAATTTATTCAACAGCTCAGTTGTTCTGATATGAAAAAAGAAGAAAAAAATTATAAAAAAATAATTAAAAAAATATATTATAGATTCTAAAAGTAACAAAAAACAAACAGTTTTTATTATTATTAACATATAACAAGTCTTTCACCCTGAACCATTTTTCGTAAATAGTTGCAAAATGATGCAAATTCCACCAATTAAAATTAATTTATTAAATATAAGCAGTAGAACCCATAAAAAAGTAATATGCTAATTTTTAATATTCTAACTCTACAAAGAACAACAAACAAATTTTGTTTGTTGTTTGTTTCTTGACCTGCACAGCTAAGAAAGACTTCTTTCTTAGCTGTGCAGGTCAAGAAATAATTTTGCTTTATAAATAATTATGACATAGTAAAAAAATTACAAATTAACCTTTGTAAAGAATAAGTACTTAACAATACTTCAGCCTAAAATATAATTGATTTGATAAATGTATAATAAATTATATATATATATATATATATATATATATATATATATATATATATATATATATATATATATATATATATATATATATATATATATATATATATATATTTATATATATATGTATGTATATATATTAGGGTGGGTCATAAAATTTTTTTTTAGAATTGCTAATCTGGCTATGGTCTAGAAAGTTGTTTTTTTATGTACAAATTTGGAAAGTATTTACTTTTATGGATTGAACAATGTCTTCCACCCCCAACTATAATTACAAAAATTAGCAGGCCCTATTATTATTCAAAAAAAAATTTTCATATAAAAATTATTATTTTAGATTTTATTGCATAATAATTATAGTTTTTTAGTGAAAAAGGTGAATTGTTACTGTTTTTTAATAACAATTTTTTCGGCAATATGATTTTTTTAAAACAATTATTATTTTTGAATTTTTTATAAAATTTCGCTTCTTTTGAGTACCAGGTTGACCTACTTTTGAAAAACTTTTTTTCTCCAAAATATTAGGGTACCGGTAATTTTCCCAATAAAGTTGCGCCCTTTAAATCTATCACATATTTGATAGTATCAATATTAATAACTATTAGCAATGTTTAGAGCCTGTAACAAGAAAAAAAAAATTTATGACCCACCCTAATATATATATATATATATATATATATATATATATATATATATATATATATATATATATATATATATATATATATATATATATATATATATATATATATATATATATATATATATAGTATATATATATATATATATATATATATATATATATATATATATATATATATATAGTATATACATATGCGTATATTATACGCATATGTATATAAAGCATAGTATATGTTGTATGGATAGATTTTAATTCATTAAAAGCATACTTTAATTCTTGAAATTCCTTCCACTTTTGCAAAGAGATACAGTATTGCTTCAGGAAGCAACACTTTAAATGTATAATCACTAGTCTAAACAGAAAATTATTTTTCAAAAGAGTTACACATGCTGATTTTTCACAAAAATATATTTTAACTATTAAAACTATATTAGACGTTACCCGGTAACAGGGTTAAGTAACAAGACGTTACCCAATAACAGTGTAACTCGAATTTTATTTAAATAATTTCATTCATAAATACATCAATAATATTGAATATATATATATATATATATATATATATATATATATATATATATATATATATATATATATATATATATATATATATATATATATATATATACTGTCAGGTTATCCTGCTACTGGTAACATACAATCCAGTACAACCTGTTTCATGTTAACGTCAGGAAGGGCATCCGATTGTAAAACATTGCTTCAACTCTCTCATAATGGCATTTATGTCATTATGAAAACCATCCTAACCACACAAGCATGGAAAAATAAATGTAAACTTACAAATATATATATATATATATATATATATATATATATATATATATATATATATATATATATATATATATATATATATATATATATATATATATATATATATATATATATATATATATATATATATATATATACACACAGTGGTGTACACTGGATTTTTAGATGTTTGAGTTTTGACACTTACTACTGTGATCAAAAAGTAAGGTGAATTTTTTTATAAAATGAAAAATCTTTATTTATTCTTCCAAATCTGTATCGACCCCCTCAAAATAATTCCCCCCGGCCCCAATGCACTTTTGCCAACGTTTTTTCCAGTCTTCGAAGCATGCCAAAATGTCCTCGGTAGGGATAACCTTCAATGCGCGTGCCGATTCACGTTGGATCTCTTCAATGGACTCAAAATGATTTCCCCGGAGTGGTCTCTTGAGCTTTGGAAACAGCCAGAAGTCACACGGTGCTAAGTCGGGCGAATACGGTGGTTGTGGAGCAACATGGGTAGAGCTTTTGGCGAAAAACTCACGAAGAACCAGTGCTGTGTGCAAAGGCGCATTATCGTGGTGCAAAATCCAAGAGTTATTGGCCCATAACTCCGGTCTCTTTTTGCGAATAGCTTCACGCAAACGTCGCATAACGCTTAAATAATATTCCTTGTTGACAGTTAGACCAGTTGGAAGGAATTCGTAGTGCACGACACCACAATAATCAAAGAAAACTGTCAACATGACCTTGATTTTTGAGCGACTTTGACGTGGTTGCTTCGGTCTCGGCTCGCCTTTTTCACGGTATTCACTCAATTGGTCGGTTGTTTCAGGGTCGTATGCGTAGACCCAAGTCTCATCGCCAGTAATAATTTGTTTGTAGACGTCTTGATAGTCAGAAAGCATTGCTTCACACGTTTTAACGCAACGCTCTTTTTCAAAGAAATTGAGAAATTTCGGCATCAAACGTGATTTGAGTCTTCTGAGGCCCAAATGATCCTTCAAAATCGCTTGCACCGACCCAAATGATATTCCAACCATGTCAACAAGGTCTCGAATGGTTAACCAACAATTTGCAAGCACCAATTCTTTGATTTTGTTGATGTGGCGATCATCAATCGAAGTCGATGGTCGTCCGGAGCGTTCCTAGTCATCAACACGTTCTCGGCCTTCTTTGAAGTCTTTGTACCACTTGTAAACATTTTTTTAAGACATAGTCTCTTCACCGAAGGCCTTTTGCAACATTCGATACGTTTCAGCAGCAGAAATATCATTCCGCAAACAAAATTTAATAGCACTTCTTTGCTCAACAAAATTAGACATCGTGAAAATCGCCGAATGCACTTTTGGTACTTCAGAAACAAACGTAAACAAAAAAAAATAATTATGAGTTTGACATGTAATTTGGCGCAAATGTTAATGACATTCCTACCAACTTAAAAATAAAAAAGATTGGACAATTCGAATAAGGTGGGAAGTTTAAATTAAAAATTCACCTTACTTTTTGATCACAGTAGTATACGTATTTTGCAAACTCGAAACATTTGATTGTTCATACTTATGTCAAATGAGAATGTTTTGCAAAAAGTGGTGATTTGAGCTTGGGGACAAAAAAAAAACCAATTTTCGGGCTTACCCAGCCCTTAACCTGGAATCAACAAGTTGACAAAATAATTTCTTAAGTATCTTTATCTAAGTTTATCTTCATCAACGAATTTCAAATTTCATACAATAACCTCTTAGTTTTTAGTTTTTATGACCCTACAAAGTTTACAGCCTCCTCAAATTGAGGGGGGTTAAAACTTTATATGGTCATAATTTTCGAAAAATAAGAAATTATTGGATGAAATTTAAAATTTGTTGATGAATATTAACTTTTTGCTCCCACGTTTTAAAAAATTATATTTTCAAAATTATTTTATTAACTTGTTGCTCCCACGTTAAGGGCTGGGTGGGCCCAAAAATTGGTTTTTTTTTTGTCCCCAAGCTGCAATCACCACAACTTTTTGCAAAACACTCTCATTTGACGCAAGAATGAACATACAAAAGTTTGGAGTTATATATATATATATATATATATATATATATATATATATATATATATATATATATATATATATATATATAATATATATATATATATATATATATATATATATATATATATATATATATATATATATATATATATATATATATATATATATATATATATATATATATATATATATATATATATATATATATATATATATATATATATATATATATATATATATATATATATATATATATATATATTCAATATTATATATTGAATAAAATTATGTATATATTTATTGATAAAAATTCATTCCTTACCTTAAGACTATTAAATGATTTAGAAATAGCGTGTATAAGATTGTCTTTTATATCCTCGGATAAAAGGTACATTAAGTCTTGGTCTATAAGGTTTCCTATAAAATATAATTGGAAATAAATAAATAACTATGAAAAATTTTAAAACTATTTATTTACCATCTATTTATCTTATTCTTATTATAAAATATAAAACTTTAAATGTTTACTTTTTGCCTTCCCGCCAGAATTATAAATGTTGTGTCTGTAACTATACAACTAGAAAAGAATAAAAAAGTTTGAACATTTTCTAAAAAAAAAAAAATAACAAAAAACAATCTCTAAAATGCACACAGAGGTATAGAACAATACATAAATGGTTTTAAGTAGGCCAAATACATAAATATTGAATCTCCAAATTAATTAAAATTTAATAAAAAACACATACTTGACCAGAGAAAATAGACACGAGTAACGATGAAGATGAAATTTCTACTATTGATTGGGCTGTAAATTTTTTAAATGCTTAAAAAAAAATAATAACACTTAATCTATATTATAGATTAAGTGGTATTATTTTTTTAAATATATATATATATATATATATATATATATATATATATATATATATATATATATATATATATATATATATATATATACATACATATATATATATGTATATATATATATATATATATATATATATATATATATATATATATATATATATATATATATATATATATATATATATATATATATATATATATATATATACGAAGGAAACAATTTTTGTCTAAACTCTAGCTAAATATATTTGAAACCGGTAATATATACAGTAATATTTTATGAAAATATGCAATAAAAAACGATAATATCTCCCAAATTACAATCAATGTCCTAAATGTGCAAATACATACCTCTTTTAACTATTAAAACATTATCAGGATAAGAAATACAGCACGAAGAATCTGTAGATAAACAATAGATTAGCTTGTGTATTTAAGCAAATATAATAAATAATCAAACAAAATAAATTTAATACCTGCACAAGCCTTACAAATTTTGTAAGCATCGTTTTTCCATAAGTTACATTTACATGAGTTATCTATTACTCTTTTACACAGTACACACTTTGGAGTTAAAATATTTTCTTCTAACATTTTTAATTAATTCTTTAGTCTTAAAATATAAATAGTTATTATAATAATTTATTTATAGAATTATTTATCGAACTTTAAAAACCTTTATTCAATATAGAAAATTAACGTAACAATTATTACACTTGAGAGCACAAGTTATTTATGATCAGTTTTGGAGAGAATGTATTTATTACTAAATGTTATTAACATTATAGGTTTTTCTTCAGATTTTATGTTGAAATACAAAAAAGTTTTCCATTTGAAATCATTTCAATAAACTTAACTTAACATTGTTAAGTTAAGTTTATTGAAATGATTTCAAATGGAAAACTTTTTTGCATTTCAACATAAAATCTGAAGAAAAACCTATGACCTTTTTATGTTGAGAAGATTTAGGATTTATTTAAGATATTTAATTAATTATTGTACTAAAAAACATAAGAACTTACATCATTAGGTATCTCAAACTTTAAGATATTATTATTAACTTTAATAACAATTGCAAATTAATAATACCTTTGAACAAACCTTTGAACTTTGTCAAAGGTGTTATTAATTAGTATAATTACTAACAATTTGTTACCTAAATACTATACAAGGTACTATGTTGTATGTATGTAATGTATTTTGTATTGATGTGACTACATTATATACATATGATGTACATACAGTGTATGTAAATCATATGTATGAAATAACATTACACAATGCCTTTAACATATATCATATGTATATAATGTGTGTATCAAACACACATTACTAATGACATTAGTAATGTGTGCTTGATACACACATTATATGCATATAATATGTTAAAGGCATTGTGACAATAATAAATTCGATTCAAAGGTATTGTGTCAATGAGATCTCAAAGTTTGAGATTCTCACTGATGTCAGTTCTATGTTATTTTAGAACAATACTAATGAAACAGTACTGTATTTTGAGTAATTTATTAATTAGTATATTTAGCCAAAACAAAGTTTAATAACATTTTAATAACAAATTAAGTACTACCTGAGGTACCAATAAATGTTTATTGTAGATAATAAAGTTTGATAATAACGTTAGATTATCTTAATCTAATTAGATTACTAACAGAGACTAGAGTTAGCTAACTTTACTATCAATCTTAATTAATTAATATATCGCCAATATCATTATTTGAATTATTTTAAATATGATTGCATACATGTTCAACATTATTATTATTTATTAATATGTTATCGTTCTAACTATATTTCAATGCTAATTTATTACTATATCAATCTTAATCAAACGTCCCACTGATACATTAAACTCTGCCATTTTAAAATCTGCCAATTTGCTCGCTTACACATTAATCCTATAAAATCAAAGTTTTAAGCCGAATGCCCTCATGCTACTATTTAGCGTAACATCCGGGCTATTTTTGCCCTCATGCTACGGATTTTTCGTAACATGAGGGCAAACTTGTAACATAAGGGCATTTTGCGTAACATAAGGGCATTCCGCGTAACATGAGGGCAAAAACGTAACACGAGGGCGAAATTTCGTAGCGCTAGGGCATGCAATTCGTAGCATGAGGGCAGTGAATACTACTACTACTACTACTACTACTACTACTACTACTACTACTACTACTACTACTGCTACTACTACTACTACTACTACTACTACTACTACTACTACTACTACTACTACTACTACTACTACTACTACTACTACTACTACTACTACTACTACTACTACTACTACTACTACTACTGCTACTACTACTACTACTACTACTACTACTACTACTACTACTACTACTACTACTACTACTACTACTACTACTTTTTATTTTCCTCTGTTTTCTCTCATTTTTCACCTAGAATAGCCTATTACTACTATTAAAATTATTTTTTCAATTTTCTCAACGGCAACTTTCGCGACTTCATTTTATAAGTTTCGCAATTGTTTAGTTGTAAGAGGTTAATTTTGTGTGATCTTGTTCCTCTCTATGAAAATTCAAGAAATAATTATAAAAAATTTAACTCGAGCATAAAAAATCAAAGTTTATTTGAAATTTATATATTTTTTTTTGATGCAACAAAGGGCATTAATTTTTTTTATATTACTTTGAAAGTTTGAAATTGAAAAGTTTCATCTCCATTTATAAAATATAAAATAGTTAGGAGATAAAAGTTTTATCTCCAAAGAGATAAAAGATTTTATATTTGGAGATAAAAGTTTTATCTCCAAATATAAAATAGTAACTAAAATTATTTTTCATTAAAATTTCAGATAAGTCAATAAAAAATTTTTTGTCTAAGCCTTTTTTATAGTTACATTGCATTGAGGTTACTGGGGCTAGTTGAGCATTGATTTAAATGGAGTCCTTGCGTTTCTCTATTCTCTCCAACCTAGAAATGACTAAACGAAAACAATTTCAAATCAACTCACTTATTTAACTTAATTATTATTAACTAGCGTAAGTGTCAATTAACTCATAACTTAATATGGTTTTTAAGTATTTTAAGAACGCGCATTAACGTTATTTTATTACTTTTTTTTGTAGGAATTTTTTGCTACTATGTTGATCATGCAGACTAATATAAACATTTTACTGTTTTTATGAGTCGATTAAACGTTCAATTTACAATAAATTTAAGTAAAAAACAGGAGCTAATTGGCTTAGAGCAGTTTTTATTCCTTCGTGGTTCACTTCTTGAATTTTTTTTTTTAATATACTCATCACATGCAGTCGGTTTGTTTTTATGAATATACTCTCATTAAAATATTTGGGAAAATATCTATAAGTAACAATGGTAAGGAAGGCAGCACGGCGCTCTGAAAAGCAAGGCTTTTATGAACACTCTAATGACTAAACAAATGCATTTAAAAACACAATAGCCAAGGCTGTCTCAAACCAAACCCTACGGCTTCTTGTTATTTTTTGTAAATATTGACTTAAGGGGTGCTACTAAAACATTAATATCTTTTGAAGTTTAAAAAATAATTTTGTTTTATAAAAGAATGAAAATACCAATAAAATATTTCATCTTACAACATTTTTTTTTTTTTTTTTTTGTCTTTTATCAAAGCTTTACAAATACGTGATCATAAATATAAACTAGTTCGTTTACATTGTATAAAAAAATTACCGTACATATAATAAGAAAACTTTTTTTAATACAAATAATAATATATATAAAAAAGTAACACTGTTAAAAGACGCGGGAAACTTGCAGAAGACCATTTTGGTCTTGTCATCAAGAAACCACTTTTAGTTGCGATATTTTGTATACTTAATTTATTAAGAAATTTCAGTTTGTCAAAGTCTTATGGTGGCATAAGAGTTACACATAAAAAGCTACTAGATAATCAAAAAAAACAAACGGAAAAGAGCTGTATTTGATACACGTAAATATATAGTTACATGGTTTGTTATACTTAGTATATTGACATGTACGAAATATAAATAAAATCTAACATTTACTTTGCTTTAAAGTGGATTTTTTAGGGGTTTTTAGTTATTTGTTTTAATATACGTTTGTAAAATTGTTTAAGTTTAGAACAAGTTTTTTTAAAAGTGTTTTCAGAGAATTATGGTTAAGTAGTTTTGTAATTATAGTATTTTTTAGCTATTAGTTTGTTGTAGAGGTAAGGGCCGCGATACGAGATGGAGAAACGTGATAGTTTTGTTTTTTTATATGGTATTTTAAAATTTCCTATTCCTCGAGTTTCATATTTATTTCTATTGCATTTAAAAAATTCTTCTGAAAAATGTAATGGGACAAGTCCGAGTTTATATTTGAGCATGAATATCAAATTTTGGTAAATGTTAATTTTGTAGACATTTAGTGCATTTAGAAGCTTTAGCAAAGGTTCGGCATGAGTAAATTTATCTTTATTAAATACTATTCTTGCAGCATGTTTTTGATGTCGATAAAGTGCCACTAGGTTGGATCTATGGGTACTTGCCCATGCTATATTACCATACGTATAATAGGTTTGAATGAAGGAGAAATAAAGTAGCTTTAAATTTTTTTGGGGTAGCATCGGTCTAGCTTTGTAAAGCATGCAAATGTTGTTTCTTATTTTGGTATTTAATAAGTTTATGTGAGCTTTCCATGAAATATTCTCATCGATAAGTATTCCTAAAAATTTTGTTGCTTTGGTTCTTTCGATAAATTTATTTTCTATTTTTAGAGACGGTAATGGAATTGGTATAGATTTTTTCCTTTGATTGGTGTGAAATAGAATGTAGTTGGTTTTTTCTGTACTCAATGATAATTTGTTAGATTTAAACCAAGTATTAAGTTTTTCAAGTTCAATACCTGCAGTTTCGAAGATTTCTGCGATAGAAGTAGATGAATAAAATAAGTTTGTATCATCTGCAAACATTATGGCACCAAGTTTTTTTGAGACTTTTGGAAGATCATTGATGTATAGCAAGAAGAGTAGGGGAGCTAGAATGGAACCTTGGGGAACTCTGCATTTTATTTTAAGTAATTTTGAATGGGTATTTTTATCCATAATAACACATTGCTGTCTGTTTATAAGAAAGCTCTCAAACCAATGTAAAGCAACATTTTTAATGCCATATTTTTCCATTTTTTTAAGTAGTATAGCATGATCAACAGTATCGAATGCTTTCGGTAGATCAATAAAGATTCCTAGAACAAATTTGTTATTATCAAAAGAGTCATTTATTTTATTTACAAGATCTATAATCGCATGTTCGGTTGAATGTTGTTTTTGAAATCCGAATTGTTTTTTATTCAAAATATTGTTAATAGTTAGGTATTTATATAGTTTATTGTAAACTATTCGTTCTAGAAGTTTAGAAAAGACAGAAAGGATTGAGATGGGTCTGTAGTTATTAAGTGAGCATTGCTCTCCGGATTTAAATATTGGTACAACTTTTGCAATTTTTAATTTGTCTGGAACAGTTCCTGTTGTAATTGAAGATTTAAAAATTTCGAATATGGGTTTGCGTATCACCGGGAAGACACTTATTACTACGTTGCTAGAAATCTCATCAATCCCTGGTGCTTTGTTAATTTTTAGAGAATTTTTTGCAGCTTCGAGTTCATC